CGATTCAACGAGATCATTGCTATCGATGCGACGTACAAACAAGCAGAACCAATATGCCTCTTGTCAATGGTATTGGTATCAGTCATCTCGATGCATCAAAGCTCAAGAACGTGCTTATTGCCTCTGCTTTCTTGGTGAACGAACGAGAAAGAAGAGTCGTACACCTGGCTCCTTCGGACTATGCGACAAGTCATATGGCCAGAAGGAAACGTACATATCTTCATTACAGACAACGAAAGAGCTTTAATCAACGCCATCGAGTCAACTTTCAAAGATGCAGAGCATATACTTTGCGGGTGGCATATAGAGCAGCATTTACGTAGCATTTTCAGTACTTGCTTTCCACCGAACAGCGAAGAGATAGGCGAAGCCAAAGCTATCATTAAGCAAATGGTTTATGTTGGTAAAAAAGACAAAGCGACTTTCCAGGCTGCCATTGACGCTTATAAGTGTCTGATCGAAAAAGGTGCTCTTGCGTATGCCAACAAAAACCATAAGCGATCCAACAAAAAGCACAAGAAAACAAAGTCCAAAGCGAAGCATCATGACGACAGCAGCAATAGCGAGAGCGACAGAGATACTGAAGATGATGCAACGTCTACAATACGTTTGCTGGCAAACAAAAAGAAAGAGAAAATGATGGACTATCTCAACGGGTATGTTAACTACCTTTATCCAATATTTGACTGAGGCATTCCTTTCTTACCAATTATTTTTATATATACACAAAATTCAATTTTTTGTACAATTTGGATTTTTACAGCCAATAGATTTCTTATAGTCAATAATATTATCTAATATCTAATTGGAGTTGGATGTCCCCCTCCTTCACGGATGAGTACTTGGAAACAATATGGAGTAGTCGATTTTGAGCCGAGAGTAGCAATTGCATCGTGCCTGTTCACCGTTTGAACACACAAGTTGCAGTCGTTAAATATGATAGCCTAGACGATGATAATGACGGAACAACAGTAGTCATTCCCTTGCCTAAAAAATGTTAGCATAAGGGCAAACCCTTTACTTTCCGCATGAATATCCCATCTCTACATTTATACTTTCATCTCTCCTCCTCAACAAACAAAACCGTTCACTACCTTAAAAAATTCGTTCTTGCCTTTACATGTCCATTCAACTGTCGAAACAGCTACGTAAGTGCCTACATTCTTGCTGAGCTCGTCAGCGAAATGATTAACAGCACATTATGTTGTATAAAGAAAGTGTTCGTTTGTACAAAGAGATGGTTCTGTATAGTATCTAGGAACGCATATATATACAAGGCCAACCGTACCAAATGCTGGTTCCAACAATGAGGCTTTTTTGTGAATGTGCGGCAGCTTATATGTGTACTGAATACCCTTCCTTTGAGTGTATCGAGAATAGAGCGTCGAATGAAGGAGATGCTGTTCAGTGTAAAGATTAACAGAAAAAAACCAGGAAAGAGAAGAAAGGGAACAAAGAAAGGACGCGTGTTCGTTTTGCATGTCACCCCAAGATATGGCAAAGACTTTTTCTTCTGACCCCCAATATCAATTGCATTCTGAGTCTCCCTCCCCTAAACAATCCTCTTACGAAACAGTACACACATAACTACTTTTGCCCTCCCCATACCCACACAGAAACCGTGCAACCGATTTATTTTTCTAGTGGTGAGCCCAAGCTGGCAGCGTAGACACCACTTCAGGTGCCAAATCCACCGCTCTGCTAACCCTTGTTCTACCAACAAGTGCCGCTCGCTGATTCCGGAGACCAGCACCAGCAGCCACAATCTCGTCCAGTTTTGCAAAAAACTCGTTTGCCTACAGATGTCATCAGCTCCATGACATAACCTTTAAACACTCATGCAAGCGTCTTACCCTATCGGTACGCCATTCAGGCACCAGCACCAACAACTGCTTCCCATTGGTGCTGCCTTCCGTGTCTGTCTCTTCATCAGACAGGCACTTGTGCTGGAGCAACCGAGAACCGTCTGGGTAGAGCTCATCGAATTGAGCAGAATGGTTCTCGTGGGCTCGTAATCGCCGTTGCAATTTCTTATATATATTAAACATTACCTTTATTACCAACAAATAGCCAAATCCTCACCAATTAATCTATATGACCTTACCGTATTGCGTCGCTGATAACGTCGCTGAACCACTTTCAGTTCTTCAGCAGCGGAAGGCGGTCGTCGCGACTTCGTACGCTCGTTATCAAAGAACGTATACACCATGTCCAACAAACGACGCTTGTTGACGTTGATATGGCTCAAGCTGTTCACGTACCTGACGATCAGATCACGAGCAGCGCGATTATGTGGATCTGTGAACACAGTCGAGAAACAGAAACCACGATCACCCAGGGTACGATTGTAGTCGCAGATGGCCTCCTATCAAACACATCATAGTCATCAATGTACTGCTAATCCATTGCTCGCCGTTGTATAATTGTTTTCTTACGGAAATAGTTGGCAAACGGCCTGGCGTGCTCGCTGTTTGGACCACACCGGGTTCTTGCTGCCCATGCTCAGGACGCGCTTCGGACAGGCGCGAAACTGTATCACCTATCGACGTCAACCGTTCGTGCAGCAACCTGTTTTCCGTCTCCACCCTTTGCAGCCGTTCTTCCGTCAATGCACGCTCGTAAGCAGTAGCATTCTCCTGCTGGATGGCCACACGACAGGATTCTGCTTCGCGCTCTCTTTGTGCATTGATTTCACGTATGGTAGGCATCTATAGGATAACTCAGTACATGCAACGACAATGTATTGCCAGCAACTCTCTATGCTTACTTTGGTTGTTAGCACTAAGCAGTTCGATATCAAGAAAGGGATCTGATTCAGGAAAGTATATTTTTGAGAGCGTCTTTTATAATGACTTTATGTTTTGTCACTCAATTAGTTTATATTTGCTACAGATGAATACCGTTATTATTGTTTACAGTCGGACCAATGTGGATCGGATTGGGGTTGGTCACGATGTAGTGCACTGTGTATTCATTCTTACCTTTTTTAAGGGCGTATTGGATTAGTGCTCATCGACTATGGGTGCTACTATACATGCTCTTAGGAATGTAGCAAATTTAAGCGACATATTGCCAGCAGCAAATGTAAATGGATGGCGTTGTTTACGATAAACGTTCGTAAAAGTTATGGTACGATAATAAAGTAGCACAATATGATTGTGTTGGGGGAGTAATCAACGATCTCACTTGATGCTCTTCCTTGCATACTTGGACTTCTTCTACGCATTGTTTCTTACACTTCCTTTTCTTATGCACGGCCTGTTACTTTTCACTACGATCATGGCTATTGCACAGGCCACCACTTTCTTCAACGATTTAATATCCAGTGCTACGGGAACGCCAAGTAGATAGAACTTTGTCATGCTCAAGGTGTAAGGTGGTAGGTAAATTGAAATACAGAAAGATGGATAAAGTGTTGGTCGGTGGAATCGACGCGGTACTTGCATAATCTGTGGCAAATGTTTGGATCGGATTTTGTGAGTGTGCATGTGATGAGTACTTTTCAAAAGTTCTTTTTTTTGGTTCACTGGATTCCCTTTCTCTTTCCTCTTCCTCCTCCTTCTTCTTCTTCCTCTCACTACGTAGCAGATACAACAGCCAGTTTTTATATACATCGATTTTTATTTACAGTCTTGTTTGAAGGTGATCCTCTTGGCTCTTATTCTTTCCTTTTTACATTTTTCTACGGTTTATCTTGCTTATACTAATGCACGCCTTCATTATACCATTTCATACAACATAGTTCGTACTTTATACCTTTTGAAGCTGCTGTCGCTGCCAGATGTTATATATAGCTAGAAGAGCGTAAGTTTCCCTTTTTCATTTTATCTACTGTATACCATTTATCTATAACCCTGACTAACTACAATCTACCACCCATCTCATCGTGCCACATGTACACTACGAACTTATTCATGCCTTGCTAAGGCTTCCTAACGTGATGAAATGGAGTGCTACTATTACGGCTGACTCATATAGATGATAAGGATCAAGGCCTTATAGGTATATGTATCTTTGTTAGTACTCTTTTCCTATGACATATGACGAGCTTCGTTGTCTCTGCACCATTGGTATATATCAAACTGCTCCTTTCGTGGCCGGTCTTTAACTCCTTCATCCTATGAATTATGCATTCTGGATTCTTCACTAACAATCTTCATTGTGTCTTTTAGGTATGTTATCTCCAAAATCGTCTATGAACATCTCCTTCTACGCTGCTTTTGCTTTCACTTATAATTTGACTCAACATGCATTTTTCCGTAGCAGGACTGCCATCCTTTGCACTATCTCTTTTCGACTACAGCCTTCCTTTTAAAATCATTACATAACATAGACTTACATTTGATGACGTTCTTTTAATGTTCTATAAAGCATAATCTTGTATTGATTTTTTATACAAAATATAATAAAAACGGTTGTGGACACCCATAATAATATATATATTACACATGACCATGAATATAAAAACCAATAGCATGCTTTGTCCGTTTACTATATGTGTGATAAAAAGAACGAAAATATGCAATGCGTAATCCTTCTTTTTACGAACCTACTACAGAAGGCACCCGGTCCAAATGCAATGTATAGTAAGACCGTTATAGACATCTACATGCATGATGTAATCAAATTATGAGCTTGGGGGACTACATGCGCATAAAAATATCAAGGTGTAAAAAGACCTTGATATTTACTCGAAAAGCTAAATATTAAGGTGTTTGAAAACACCTTTATATTTTATAGAAAAGCTGTATATCAAGGTAATATCAAGCTCTTTTCTACCCCTTGATATTCCCCTGCAAGCCCAGTGCTACTAAGTAACTGCCGTGGCAACTCTATATCTTGTTGCTGGCATGAACAAGTCGACTGGACGCGACATGGGGAAAATAGCCTCTATTGACAATGCAACGAAACATTGTATACCGTCCAAAGGAAACAAGTAGGTCTCGCGAAGGGTTGTGGCGGTTGGTGTGGAGGATGTGTTCTCGGAGGAATTTGTTGAACTATTCGCCTTTTTCTGATTCAAAATGAATAGCAGTGGCGAAACGTTCGATATCCTCCACGATGTGATGTAAGATGTGTAGCTTGGGTTTGTTACCCATCTTACTATTGGCGGTCATATTTCCTTGCGCAATAAGGAAATTGTCGACAACACCAATCATAGCCGTCAATTCCTCCGTCTTCTTGTTCAGCAGCAGCTTGTACATAGAGAACTTTGTTTCTATCTTGGACATGAATAATAGCGACATGACCTCTCCATGTACACGGAAGCAGTCAAAGAACGCCTGGAGACCCTCCATTTTCTCCTCGCTTTTTGCTGACCAACCATGATGGAGGAGATCGTTGAGGATGACGGCTGCTTGCTGGCTAATGACCTTGTAATCGCGACCGACAAAGGAACGGCGAAGACGCAGACTACTGCTGAGCATGCGACGGAAGGCTTTCGAGTCGTAGCTGCGGCACTTGAGCTCGAGGTCTTTGAGCTCGTCGCTGTCAAGATAATTGCAAAATTCAAGCAAGAGATATTTGGTAACTCCCAGCATCGTGGTGTGCAGTATCTCTACTGGCAGTCTTTCGTAATGTCAAACGCCTCGAGGTTGCCCAACGCCTCTACACTAGTCAGTTTATATCCTACAGCAGTAGGATTCGTTGTCATGGTGTCATTTGGCAATCGCACCGGATCCTCCAGATCAAGACCTATTGACAGCATTGCAACGTCAGTAATATTGCGAGGTAGAGCTGCCTAGTGCTCATCACATCCTTTATAGTAGTAGCACTTGCGACAAGGGAAAGTTGAAGCAAGGCCTTTGCTACACACGAGTTCGGCGTGCCGTGGATTGTCGGCCGAAATAAAGCACAGCGGCGCCACCACCAACACGTCCTGATTGCTAGCAGCATCGAACATCACCACACCCTTTTCAAGCTCGCACAAGTCCTCGACAATAAAGGGAAGCATCTCCAAAGCAGTCAATTTGTTGTGGACAGCGATCAAGTGCGTGTTCTCCCGTTTGTTGCGTTCAGTGAGTAGAAGCGCAGCGGGCGTTAGAGACCAGCTATCGAACTTGTTCCATTTTTTTGATCGGTTGCCGCTAGTGTCATCAATGAACAAGTTCACTGGTACGATCTTGACAGGCAGCCGACGATCGTAACGCAGACCGATTCTGAAATCACTATGCTTCGTAAAGTCAATAGGGATGAACTCGCCGCTGTCGAAATCGCATATATCCCCAGCAGCACTGGAACTGGTCACCTTTGCAGCAACGTGCTCAAGATAATGCCATTTGCAATTGGCATCATAATCAAGGGTAAGTCTATCGATTGGCACTGTTATGTAGTATAGATGTTCAGGATCGCTCTCGTAGGAAAGTATGGCTACTTCTATGTTACCCTGCTTTTTGGCCAGTTTGACGGGACAGATGTCGGCAAATGTAATACCATGCTTAGTGTAGAACTTTGCAATTTTGCACGTTGTTTGCTGCCCGATGCCGATTATTTTGGCATAATCACCAACCCAAAGCATTGCTCCTACAGAATTGGTAACGCACGGATGCTGGAATAGATTGCAGGTGTTCCATTTACTGCCTTGCGTCAATTCGATTCGCTGGTCAGGCGTTTTGTCGGGTAGAGCACTCAAACTCGAAGAGACAGTTGGATCAGCGTTGAGGAGCTTTAAGCAATCTGATGGCTTATGCATATGTGCCGTAACTTTGACGGTTTCGTCTGTATTAGGCTTGCTGATCTCTGCTTTGACTGTTGTTATTCTTATTTTTGGCACTTTGCTTCGCTTAGCATACGATGGATCCATCATCCAACGAACAGATGGCACTTTGAGGTCCTTATCCTCACGAAACATCACGGCTACATCTTCGAGAAGACTTTTCAGCTGCTTTTTAATCATCCTGTCTTTCAGGCGATCGTCTGCGGGGAAGAAGGCAGCAAGACGAAATTGCAACTGGTTCTCGAAAGGATACCAGTCTTCGTTGGTCTCGTAGTCGACGCTGAAATCGAGCGGATTATCACCATCATCATCACCTTCGTCGATTTCATCGTCGCTGCCACCATCACTCTCCACATCAGCAGCGAACTCGGCATTAGCACCGGATTCCTGCCACGAGAGAGGAAAACACCGTACGACTGACGCAAAGCAGCAATGTCGACGACTCGTCGTCACTGTCATCGTCGTCTTCGACGTCGTCGTTGCTACCACTATGCTGCTGCTGGTGCTCCTCTCCCGAATTGGTGCTGTCAACGTCCATATCCTCAGCATTAGAAGCCGAAGCACGGACGATGCAGGCATCATAGTCAGCAACATTCACCTGATGTTTCGATGAGCTAACATGAGTTTTCCAGTTTCCTAAGCCATCTCCAAGCTTGATGACAGTGTTACAAGGAACACATGTTTTGGTTTTAGGCTGCTTCTGAGTTTGTGCGTTAATGGAGAAGACGTTGAAGGACATGGTCGAATGGAGATGGTTGTAATTGAGAATAAAGGTGAGTGCAAAAGAGAAAAAAAAAAGGTTAAGTGCTGAGTTAAATTAAGAATGCCTCAGCTCAATTTCCGTCTCCCTTTTTCTCCACCTTCTTCTTGCCCACCATCTTTTGTAATTCAGGTAACAATGTCTTACTTATTTTCTTCGTTTAAGACCATTGAAACCTAAATTAATATAGCATCTTCTTAGATGTTCTCAAACTAATCTGTAGGCTATTATAAAACAAGGTAAGAATGCTTAGTTGCTTGTTTGAAATTTGAAAAAAGCTCTCTTTAGTGACTAATCTCTTTTTGAATTAATAGTCATAATGGTGCTATAAGTACTTTTATTGGAGACTCTCTGTAAGTATACGTTTATTCCTTTAGGGCATGGGCTATTAAACGGCATGGAAATCGCTGATATAAGTTTCTGTTAAACCATAGGCTAACTATAGGCTATATGAAGTACATGCCGATTTATACTGCTCATATCTTTGGTAATTTGAAAATGATGACGCGTTGACAAAACCTGTAACAGTGTCGGCCCAGATACTTACAATCGGGAACGTGAATGGGTAGACAGTGTGGATCAATGAATAAGGTGAGACTCGGATATATCAAAGGATAAAACGATGGGGATCCATATAACTCAGGATCCCGTCTTTATATATACGTCGAGTAATAGGGGGCTAGCTATCGTCTAAGTATTGATCTACATCATAACTTCTATCTAGAATATCCACGCCTATTACTCCATATTTACTCCATATTCAACCATGCGGTTGACCGCAAGTCATCCTATCGTCTGAACCATGCGTTGTCGATCGTCAACCATGCAGATTGGATATCGTCGTAACGGTATGCACCGCTACATCCTCCCCCGTCTACTTCAAGAGGTCAACTCGAAGTAAAACGTCAGGTGCTCGCCGTCGATGCGTCGACTCGTCCAAAGTAATTCTTGATTTGCGTCGTTTCAATCGCCGTCCTTTGTAGCTCGTTAATGTCTGTGCGTCGATCTGCGAGTAGTATGCACCGTCCTTGTGCGCGTCCAAGTGGGTTCGTATGCTGGAACTCTTCTACAGCAGTGACGGATCGTTTTGTGCGTCGACTGGATAGAAATCGTCCCGGTCTAGGGTTCTCCCCCCCGCAAATTAAAACGTCGCGAGAGATCCCAAAAGGTGGTCGTCGTGGTGAAATAGACCCAGAGGAACTATAAAAAAAATTAACACCACAACCCATTGCACATACAGTTACCTGTTTCGTCTGTGTTTGGGCGGACGACCACGGCGTCGAGGAAGTAAATTCGTATCCGAAGCTTTTGATGGCGTCGCTTCCTTGGATTGTTTGAAATCTTGAAGAGCCTCGGGCGCATTGGAAAGGTGTTCGGCGGGTTCCCACGTCGCCTCGTGTAAGGGATAACCTTTCCACTTAACCAAATATTGTAGCTTGTTTCGTCGCTTGCGTCCGTCGAGAATGGCTTCAACTTCCCATTCGTCTTCGTCGTCAGAAACATTGGTGATCACTGGTGGTGGCCGTTCTGGCTTGCGTCCCACATCGTCAGATTCCAAATATTTCTTGAGGGCGCTCATATGGAAAACGTTGTGAGCCCTGATCGAAGCCGGCAAATCAAGCTTGTATGCCACGGATCCAATACGTTCAAGGATTTTGTAAGGACCCGCCCACCGTGGAAGTAACTTTCTGGCGGGAGCGTTGGAATAAACATCAGGATTCAAGTGGGTCGTCTTGACTAATACGTCGTCATCCACGTCGAATTCCAGATTACGTCGCTTCATATTGGCATACTTGGCTTGGCGATCCGTTGCTTCCTTGATTGCCTCAGTGACTTGAAGACGGATAGACTCCAAACGTGTAGCGAGAACGTCTGCTGAATCAACATCGGAGGAGGCAGATCCCGTGGTCAAAGCGAGTGACACCTGTCGTCCCAAGTCAGCGTAAAAGGGTGTTACCCCTGTAGAAGCGTGCTTGGCGTCGTTGTAGGTGTGCTCGAGGACCGGCAGCCATTCGTCCCAATCCGATTGATTATATGCAACGTAATGACGAAGTATATCTTCAAGCGTTTGATTCGTGCATTCCGTCTGTCCGTCTGATTCTGGGTGTAGACTGCTGGACAAATTTCTTTGTACCCCAAGCATCGTCGTCAAGGCCTTCCAGAATCTAGAAGTAAAGCGGACATCTCGATCCGAGACTACGTCTGATGGTAAGCCGTGCTGTCGGTATATCTCACGCAAAAACAGATGAGCAAAATCTTCTGCTGTATCAGTCGTCTTGCATGGAGCAAAATGTGTGCGCTTTGAAAACCGATCCACAAAAACGGCAATTGCATCGAACTTATATAGCGTCTTTGGCAAGTGTGTGATAAAATCAACCGCAATCGAGGTCCATCGTCCAGAAGCTAGTTGCAATGGCTGCAACAAGCCTGCTTTTTTGGCATTTGGTAACTTGGTACGCTGGCACATGTCACACGTCGCAATATAACGTCGCACTGTTTTGTTCATATGTGGCCAGTAGTAAGTTCGTCCAAGTCGTTCGACCGTTGCATCGATGCCGCGATGACCGGCGATTGGTGCGTCGTGTGCGTCATGCAAGAGGGTGTTGAGAAGCGTTGGCATACGCGGCACACAGATTTGGCGTCGTCCATCTTTTTTGCGATAGATGATGCCGTCGGCTAGTTCGAACTCTTCGTCGTCGTCGTTCGTCCGAAGCCGAGTCAAAACGTCTGCCCAAAAAGAATCGTCCTTGTAGTGCTGAGTGCATTCCTTGCCAAGCGTCTCCCCCCTCACTGTGAGGACTACAGCACAAAGTTCCATTGATACGTCGGGGTGAGAAGGAGCGTTGGGCGGTCGTTTTGATAAAGCGTCTGCACCAGTATTCTGTTCTCGAGGAATATGATGCACGTCAAACTGATAGGCCATCAGCTTTTCCAACAAGTGGATCTGACGCTTGGAGAGATTCTTGTTGTTGGCGTGTAACGTCGAGATGGCGCGGCTGTCCGTGAACACTGTGAACTTTTGACCGTCCAGATGATGTCGCCATTGTACTAAACAGTACGACACTGACAAAAGTTCTTGTTCGTGAACCGGGTAATTCATCTCTGCGCCCTTCAACGTCCTCGAAGCATAAGCAACCGGATGCAATAAACCGTCGTCCTGCTCCTGTGAGAGGATACCAGCAATTGACACTGTTGATGAAGCGTCCATGTGTACGTAAAAATGGCGGTCGGGATCCGGGATTGCAAGCACCGGCGCAGAACATAAACGTTGCTTGAGTTCCTGAAAGGATTTTTCACAAGCTTCATCCCACTCCCAAGGAACGTCCTTACGCAGTAAGCGATTGAGAGGGGCAGTGAGGCCAGCATATCCATCACAAAAGCGTCGATAGAAATTACACAGGCCTAAGAAGCTCTGGATATGAGCAATTTTCGTTGGTCGTGGCCAGGTAGAAATTGCGTCGAGCTTATGTGGGTCGCATTTGATGCCGTCGCCTGAAACAATGTGGCCAAGAAATTCGACTGAGCGCATCCCAAACTGGCATTTCGACCGCTTCGCGTACAGTTTGTGGTGTCGCAACTTTTCCAACACCAACTTCAAGTGTTTGACGTGATCCTCGGCCGTCTTGGAGTAAATCAAGACATCGTCCAAGTA